TTGTTGTATGCACATAGGAGGTTTGCGATAGGGCCATATAGGGAGTTAGAGCTTGGATTATATGCATACTTTATTTATGGTTTGGGATCTTTATGCGAAATATACTATGCAGTATTGGTGAGCATGATGGTTTTGCTCACCCCCATTGTTGTTTTTCCTCTTGTTTCCTCTCCCTATCTTTAGGTTGAGCATGGTTGGCGGCGGCAGCGAGGGACAAGCGAGTAGCGGTCATGGATTTGTTGTGTCTTTTGCTTTCGCTCTTATGATCTATGTTGGATTGTTTATTTACCTTAGATATTGATGCTTTCGCTTGAACTATTTTTGAATCATGTTGGTTTGACCTTTTAAATCAGGATAAACCTTTGGATGTTTTCTGAAACTCATTAGTAATTTAGTTTGATTATGATTGTTAATATGAATGTTAAGTTCCTTATGTTTGTTCTTATTTGTTTATTTATTTTTAGTAGTCAAGTAGCGCCCTTTTATATACAGTTTTTAAATTGAAATTTTGCGAAAAAAAATTAACTCTAATTTTTATGAATAAATTCAGTAGATTCTTTAAAATAAAATGGGACGTTACAGTTAAATTTGGTATTAGACATAAATAACTTTTACACATATATTCATTAACTCAACACCCATGTTGTACTAGTATCATTATTAAAACACGCTGAATTATAGGAACTTGATTAGTACTCCAATCACGGATACTAGCAACCAAAATGTTCATACTACACTTAAATTGCATTACAAGCGTAGTCCATTGCATATTAGACCAACACAAAGTAATCTCCAAACATGCAGGCCGTGGAATCAAAGACAATACAACCATTGTTCCTAACAACACAAATCCCAATTTCATTAAATACATAACAAGCATCAAATCAAGATTGGTTTTCAACCCCATTCTGCCCAAGTTGTTCCACAGAAACTAGAGCAACTTTTCATAATTGGTTATCATTTCCAACTTCAGAAATTCCCAAAAATGCGCTTTTGTGGGATCGACATTTACCAATATAGTACTAATGATGTCGATAAAGCCACAAACAGAGACCTTTAAACCTGATGACGTCATCATTCCCGGAGCTTTCAAGCATAGCTTAGTTATCATATCACGGATGTAATGGCTTGGTCGATAACCGCCGCATAAAAGTTCTAGAAGTGTGCCAAGAACATTGACAAAAAGACTGTTTTTATCCTTGATGCCCCGATTAATCACATTCATGATTGGCGATAAAAGAGAGAAAAAAAATTCATCTATCATGGAGTCATAACAGACGCATGGTACGCACAACAGCACTAAATACTTCCAAGCAAACTCATTCTCGGGGTCCCGAGAAATGGCTCTTGTGGCATATTTTACCTCTGCCTCCCGCATCTCGTCAGAAAGATTTTCAGCGTACTCCAAAACAAGAAAGGCTCTCTGCAGAAAAAAGAATAAAATAAATAAATAAAATTACAAGAAGAATTGGGGTACAAAAAAATAGACAGTAGTAGAGATTCTAATTAGTGAAGCCCGATTAATGGCCATAAGTACCTGATGCCAAGCCAGGGCACAGCATACGTCTTTTTGCAGGATAACGTTACAAAACTCAAGCTCATCATCCGTTCCTCCAAATTCCTTAATTAGCCACTGAATAGAGAAATTCTTAAAAAGGAAATCTTGGACAGAATAAAAAAAAAATGTCCAAAAAAGTTATTCTTGCCCAACAAAAATGGCAATTCAGGCATACCTTTCTATGAAACCAGGCGCATCTGTTATTTACATCCTTCTCAACAATGTGACTTGTCAACTTCAATTCATCTTCTATACCGATAGTCCCGAGCATTTTAAAAACCCATCACCTATGGAACCAGGCGTAGTAGTTTTCGATGTCGAACAGCAACACTTCATGAGAAAACTGAAGCTCCAAATTAGCAATATTGGTTCTGAGCTCCTCGGGGAAGGACTCAGCAATGAACTGTCTGGAGAACCAAAAATATTTACTCGTCCTGTAATCCTTGTGAGCATAAACATTCTTCATGTTCTCAAGTTCCTTGGTCTTTTCATTAAGATCAAGCATATCACAAATATCATCTCTGTGGGTCCATGCATCCAGGTTATTCACATTACCAAGTAAAATGCCATCCGTGAACTTGAGAGCATCAAGCTTATTCGCAAACGGACTCTGAACAAGCAATTTTCTGTAAGCCCATGCACCACAAGCCATCGGATGATTAGTTAGGAAGTTGTCTACAAATTCAAATTCGCCACCCAAATCGCGAAGTCGAAACTGCTGGACAATTTCAATGAAGATGTACCACAAACGAGAATCATCAGGGTTGGTTACCAAAAAATTCTTTATAGAGTCCAACTCCTGCTTTGTAGCTTCAGGCCCAATTGCCTTAGCAAGCCAAAATCTATGGAACCTGCATAAATGAAGCAGCAACCCCCCACAACACTTTACAAAGAGTGATATAATCATGGCGGCATCAATAAAAAGCTAAGAAATAAATTTGCAGTACAAATTCCCAACGCACATCCTAATTTCGATACTTTGTCACATAAAGGCACATCGTAATTTCGATACTTTGTCACATAAAGGCACAGATATTAGCTTATTACCATATTTCATACGATTTTTTTAGAATAGCACCAGCCTCACCATCCAAGGCCCTAAAATATTCCAATTCCAGCTTCCTACTACGCCCATATGCTTGAAGCAACCAACGCCTTGTCTCCCATAACTGAAAAGAAATGTAAATTAAGAATACGGGACGCAGATGAAAAGGGGGAAATGCAAACAAACAGTTATGTATGTATTACCAGTTGATTCTGGGGATTCAGCATTATGGCTTTCAAGATCAGATGAAAGCTGTTTTCGGATATTCCAAAGCAAAATCCATTAACGACCAAATCTCTTGGACAGTGAATTGAAGCAATTTGACGCACTTGCTCGTCTTCCGTCGGCTTTCTTCCGGCCAACCCCATCGCAATACGTTCAAGGTTGTGAATGTGGGATAATTAGAGCACCCACAATGCTTTGGGTTTCTTAGAAAAAAGTTACATGCCATGTAAGGAATAGACCTAGTCTATAAAAAAGTGTTCTCCAATGCAATTAAAAGTGGAACTAGTCTAGCTTATGTGGCAATAAAAAAATGAGACCTAGTCCACACTTGGGTCTATTTTAGACCCAAGTACAAACCCAAGCACTCATCATTTATTCCTCATTTAATTTTTCTTTTAATAAATGAAATATACTAGAGCATTTTTATTGGTTGTCATGTATTCTAGACCTAGTACTTTTTGGTTTTGCATTGGATAGATTTTGTTTTTTATAGTTTAGGTTTGTCCATGTCATTATGGACTTAAGTCTATTTATTTGCCACATATGCAAAAAAAGACCCAAAGCATTGTGGATGCTCTGGTACAATTAATCCGAGCCTTTTATTTTAATCCGAGCCTTTTATTTTATGATTGGTACAATTATAAAGTAATTTTAAATTTTAAATATTAATATCTAATTTTATATCCTTTATATAATTTTCGGATGCGCTGAGCCTACGTGGCTGCTTCTGGTGCTTCAGAATCCTATTCAAAGAACCACACTTTGTAATTAAATTTGCACAAATAATATTAATATATTAATAATTAATAATCTAGGTTTGAAAATTCTATAAATATTAAGGGTGTTCCCTTTTATCAAAAGACTTTAATTAACTTAAGTATTTTGATATCACTTGTACTAATATAACTTTTTAATTCTTTGTAACTTTAAGGCTAATATAACCTTTTAATTTTTTGTAACTGTACTAATATAACCTTTTAATTTTTTGTAACTTTAAGGCTAATATAACCTTTTAATTTTTTATACCTTTAAGACAATAAGTGATTAATATATCTTGACTTTTAGATAGTGATGTTTTTCCTTTTGAATTTTATAGAAAAGCAAACGTAAATCGATATTACTGTTTAGACATATTTTCTTTTATTACGAAATTGAAAGACTTTTAGGATTGAATTTTATAGAAAAGCAAACGTAAATCGATATTACTGTTTAGACATATTTTCTTTTATTACGAAATTGAAAGACTTTTAGGAGAGGAAGCCCTATTAGAATTAGATAAATCGTATCTAGCCCATCTTCCTTTTCTACTATTCAAGTCCTTTATTTCTTTTGGAGAGAGATGACCCACACGGGTCAAGCCCTTTGATTTGAGATCCCCAATTATTTTAAAAATTTGTTGCGAGAATAATGGGAATATTGCAAATCGAACTAATAACGTTGTATATCGAGAAATTTTTTAAAATTTGAAATAATATTACAATTTTTGTTTTTATTTCATTATTTATAATATAAATTATTATAGTTCTACCTTTTTATGAATCATAATTTCTTTTGATCAACCGTGTATTACACGGGTGTTGTACTAGTTTTACAAGTATTCATGTATAATTGCAAATAAAATTATATATGTTATTTATTGATTAGTATAAATTAGGGCACATGCACAAATATAAATTATGAGGTTTATAAATTACAGTTTTGCTATGGAGTCATTAGATTGACGACTTATGGAGTCATTCACACACAAATAATGTATTGACACATGTTCTTCAATAAATATAATTTGGACATTGATCAATACACTAAGAGCACCCACAATGTTTGGGTCTCTTGAAAAATACAATATGCCATGTAGAAATTAAACCTAGTCTATAATAAAATGTCTCCAATGCAATTAAAAGTGAACCTCCTCTAGTTGATGTGGCAATAAAAAAAGACCAATGCACACTCTTGGGTATATTTTGGACTCAAGTACAAACCTCACCAGTCAGCAATTATTTATAGTTTTATTTTATTTTTTGTTTATGCTTGTTTTAATTGGTTGACATTTATTATAGACCCAGACTTTTATTTTTTCTATTGGAAAGGTTTTGGATTTATTTTACTTAGGTGTATCCATATCATTAGAATTTAAGTCTAATTATATGCCACACATATAAAATTGGACCCAAAGCATTGTAAGTTCTCTAAATGATGGGGGCTCATCTCCTGAATGACACTTATTTTCTCCAGGTTCCCTTTGAAATCATGAATCCTAAAAACTTTCTCACGCTCACGGTAAAGGTGCATTTGCCGGGATTGAGCTTCATCCTATTCTCCTTCATGATGGCAAAGAACTTATTAAAAGAAGATGGGGGGATGTAGGCTCGATATAATTGACCAAGTTAGGCTCCTCGACTTACTGATAGTGTATCCGGTATGGAAAAACTAAGGTCTCACCTTCCTCTGTTTGTCGTCTCTCCTTATTTCGGTCTCAGAGGGTTCCATAAGAAAATCACCTGATGGCTCAATAGAATTTCTGTTATAAATTATGTGTATATATAATATTAATATTACAAAATAGATAATGTATATATCATATTTTATAAATTTGATTGTTAATAAATGAACAGTATACATATAAATTATTTAATTAGACATGAATCTCTATATATTAATTGCATAAAGTGTAATACATAAATATGTTTGAGTGCATAAAATATAAAGCATAACATTCTTTTTGACTGAGAGATCATGACCTATTAATTACCTAGACAGATATTGTAACAATAACATTTACAATTATTAGAAATTTTTTGCGGGGCTTTCATCCCATTAAATGAATTATTTGATTATAAAATTAATATTACTTATAGAATAAATAACTTAAAAAATTATAATATATTTTTCTTATGAATATGAAACTTACATATACCATTTATTGTAAATTATAATTAGGCATCATTTACTAATCATGATAAGATTGTAAAATTTAATCCCTCCAATCTGCCACATCAGATGTTATCCCATATTTTACTAACCATGATAGTATCTTAACCAATCTCAATCATCTATTTACCATACATGATA